AGGCGCTGACTGCCACCAAGCAGTAGCTGGATTCTGGCCAGTGGGCAGTTCTAGTGGTGGTGCGACAACCCACCACGATGCCCGTCTCTCTTGAAGGGTGTCCTTCCATACAGAAATGCAAACATAAGGTTTAGAAATCCAGACAGCACCTGAAAAAATACAGCAGTTCCCAAAGTAGCAAATAAACCCTCTGGTTGCAGGCAGGCTGTATATTCTCATTGCTCAGCTGACACTAAATTAACAGACTGCTATTGCAATCAGTCCCTATTTCTGTTTTAAGGACAAGTGCCTCGTCACCTAAAGGCAGGAATTCTCCAAAGGAGTTAATCATTACCACATAGTACTAGCACCTACTGGTACAGAAAGTGCTTGTAAACACCTAAGTTCTCCACAATCACAAGCAGCTCTTGCTTTACTGGGAAAAGGAACAGGGTTATAGTCTTCTACCCAGTCAGGAACACATTATCAATGCTAGGTGCACCTGTGAGCAGCCCTCAGCTGCATGGATGCTCTTACTCTTTTCTAATTTTTAGAGAATTTTCATTTTTTTTTTTCCTAAGATTCTGGAGCAGCTAGTCCTGGAAACTGTTTTCACGAAGGACAAAAAGAATCACCAGTAGTAGTCAGCATGTATTCACCAAGGGGAAATCATGCTTGACCAACCTGATAACCTTCTACGATGAAAGGACTGGCCTGGCAGACAATGGGAAAGCAGCAGATATTGCCTACCTGGACTTCAGTGAGGCTTTCAACCATTGCCTACCCTAAGATCCTCCTCATAAAGAAGCTGCTGAAGTACAGGCTGGATGAGCAGACACCGAGGTACACTGAAAACTGGCTGAACGGCCGGTCCCAGAGGGTGGTGATCAGTGGCATGAAGTCTAGTTGGAGGCCAGTAACTAGTGGCATACTCCACGGGTCTATACTGGGTTCAGTCCAGTTTAACATCTTCATTACTGATCTGGATGACGGAGCAGTGCACCCTCGGCAACCTGGGAGAAGCGGCTGATACTCCAGAAGGTCGTGCTGCCACGCAGAGGGACATTGACAGGCTGGAGAAATGGGCTGGTAGGGACACCACGAAGCTCAATGAGAAGTGTCAAGTCTTAATTTAATATGGGATGAATCTGAGTCTTGCTCAGGGCCTCTTGCACCAAGTGCTGTAAGGACAGAAAGTACTCCCTCATTAGACTTTTGCTTGCGGAGCAAGAAAGATTTAACAACCTCTTTGAAGCCTTCCATATTTTTTCTTCTATCTTTATGAAAGCTATGCGGGGTTACAAAGCACATTTTCTCCTGCACAGAAGGGTAAAATACCCCAACACAGACAAACCTACCACAGGAGCTTGATTTCAGCTAAGCACCTCAAAAGGCAAGTGGTTACAGAGACGGCAGCACACAAATTACATCTCCTTCTCCTCAGCTGAATCCACTTCAGAATCCCAAGTTCAAGGCTAAGAGCACTTACCATTTTCTGTTGTTAAAAGAAACTCCCCAAGGAATGTGGGTTTTGGTTGCATAGTTGCAAGTATAGGGCAATAGGGAGTAATCCCAACTCTCTGATCAACCTTCTGCGTAACCTTGGGCAAGACACTTTTTCTACCTGGCTCCCTCCCTCTTCGTATGTCTGTTCAGACAGCAAGTTCTTTAGGGCAACAACCGTCCCCTTTCATGTAATATTGGCAAAGCAAGCTTGGATTTTGAGGACAGTAATGCTAAAAATGTTCCCTGCGAGCTCCACCTCATCAGATTTTGTTAGTCTGACACCAAGCAGGTAAGCGATGAGCTGACAGCTGAAATTCAACATAGGTTAAGTGCAGAACAGTGCACATAAGAAAATACAATCATAAACTTTATGTACATAACGATGGGCTCTGAAATAGCTGTTACCACTCAGGAACGAAACCTTGGGGCTATAACAATTACGAAAGCAATCAAGTCAGTACTTCCCTACTGTTAAAAGAGCAGCGAGTGTTACAAATTAGGAAGAGAATAAGGCAAGCAAACGGTTATGTGACTATGCAAATCCCTGTTCTAAAGATTTCAGGGTTGATAATGCACTAGGGACACCTTATTCAGCTCTGGGCTGACAGGTCCTACACATCCCTCTCAGCTTGCTGTTAGCTTCAGGACACTGTGAAATCTCTCTTAAGTAGGCATCTAATCTAGATTCCCAGAAGTAATGAAGGGTTCATACTTAGCCTGAGAGGAGATTCAGTTATTCAGCACATTAGAGAATCAGAGTATTTACATGGGTACTTAAAACATGGAATTAAAGCCTAACTTTAGGAAATCAGCCCTGGAAAATACCAAATGCTTCATCTGAAGCAGTCTTGCCAATAACGCAAATCTATCTTAGGCCACCATCCTCTTCATTTTCTGTAAAATCATAACCTTTTAAGGCACCACACAAAAAGAGAAAATTATAGCTTCAGATCACAGTTACAAGCATGTACCTTACAGAAAAAGGTGGGTGCATAATTTCAAGTATGAAAAGACAAACAAGTAAAACTTTGTAGCTGCAACGAAGAACTCCAAATTAAGTGCTCCTGAGCCTTTTGAGAGGGTGCTGATGAATCACAGAGGGGGAAAAAAAAAAAAATCGATGTGTAAGCAGGAAGACCCGGAGGTGTTAAAGAGTTATTTGAGAACCTACTAGAAATAGAAATAAGTCAGTAAGAAGATTCCAGAGGAGGTAGGAAGTAGAGAAGGAAATTCAGAACCACACTTTTAAAGGCATATAAGATATAGCCATACCTGCGAAAGTCTGAGCCAACACATCAAAATAGGCTAAGTGGAAGTAATGTGCATTTGCCAAAAAAAAAAGCTTTCTACTAGCTACATTATTTGCGACAAGTAAGGTCTGACTAATGTCCTGTCAGTATGTCTGATCCTTTTCAGGTTTCCACACCTGTGTATGTGTTTGCATTTACTGTGGCAGCACCTAAAGGACAACTGCTTACAAACCAGCCTCCAACGTCATGTGTTTGCACAGCACCCAAAGCGAGTACCCACAAAGAGATAAAACTACAGCAATGTAGGTCTGGTAACACTTTAGAAGGAGGTATGCTTATGCTGTCTTAGTGACCTCATTGTACAGAAAAACACTTTATTTATAGCATGGATCTCCTACACAAAACATCAAATGAACAACTCCTCTCCCCTGTTTCCAGAGGTAAACTTTACCCACAAGTCTTCAACCACAATAAGGATTTTTACAACTAAATGGTTCAAAACTTGCCAGTAAAGCAATTCTCAGCAAATGGGAGACCTCCAAATCAAACTGGAAGCTCAGAAGCTGGTGTATTACAGAGAAAACAGCAGAATAGCTCATTAGAAGACAGAAAAAATACTCTGTATACCTCAGGAAATGCTTACAGCTAGTCATTCAGAAGAGAGGCATTTGCTGAAATAAAAGCCATAAACAAATCATGTTGCTTAAAGCCAAGTCATATTTCAAGCTAAGTTCAGATCATACTAAATCTGTTATCAGTGTTTAACTTTCTACAGCACAGCACTTAAATTATTTGACTCATATGCAAATCTATGCTAATTTATATTAGGGTAATTTCTTTGTTTTACTACATAGTAGCAAAGGCCTTAAAGCATTGCTCAAGGTCAAACAGAAAACTAACAGCAGAGCCAATAACAGAATCTAAATTCTGTTATTGCTCTAAGTCCTGTGGTTTTAGTATTAGTCAGGCCGGTTCTTCACCTCTGCTGCAGGGAGGTTTTCCAACGGTGGATTACAGAGATTGCCAACAGCAGCACACGTGGTGTAGAAGCGACTGACTCTGTGAGAAGGCCTTGTGCAACAGAAGAGCCAACACACAGTAAGTAAAATACAAGTTTTTTTAAAAATTGTTTTCTGTTTTACAAGCAAATGTTTGTACAGAGGTGGGTGGAACACAAGCAGACAAAATAAGCAAAACACAAGACCAAGGGTTTGTCATACAGATCTGCAGCCAAAACTTAATAAAAGGGCAATAACTGGAGATATTCACAGCGTTGATCAACTACAGGTCTATACCCCCTCCCCCCAATACATGTGTATAACAGGAAAAAGACATCCAGCATCAGCTTTCAAACAGCTAAAATGCCCTCAGAGCTCACTTCCATTTTAATATCTGCACAATTCTAGGTGCAATGGAACAGAGACAACTGCCATCATTGCATAGCCACCTCTGTCACATACTGTTCCCAAACCAAAAGCAAATGTAAAATCAGGAGCAGAATGCTATATATTATATCAGATTAAAAAAAAAAAAAAAGAGTTGTAGTGTTTAATAGTTTAGTTTGTCAACTCTTCAAATTTTCATATGAGAATTTTCTGCCATTGTTCCTACTTTGAAAACTTCCACCGGCACTCCTTCTCAAAAAAAAAAAAAAGCCTAACCCTGATGTTATTTGACCTCAAATACAGAAATATACAGAGAGCAAATGCCAGGTTTGAATCAACTAAACAAAAAGTTAGTTACCTATGTGTGACATTAGAGGAAGTGAGAATCTGATAGCTGGCCAGATAACAAGAATGAGTTTCCCTCAGTTCTACCTATAGCATTTCAGTAACAACCTGTAATCAGTTAACCCTGGATATTTCTAGCAAAGACTGCCTGACAGCACAGAGCTCCTGCTAACAGTCTGCTCATTCCCACTCAGATGGCTAAGCATTTTAAATTCCTTCCTCTTTCCATTTCCCTGGGTTAAACATGTATTTTCTTTGGATGCGAGAAGAAAGACAGACTCATTCCTTGTTACTTTAGTTTCCATTCTGGCATAGAAAGTATTGTCCTGGAGTCAGGAGAGAACAAGCTAGCTGCCAGCTGTCCAACGACCCCAAATCACTCTTGCATACAGAGATGGAGGACTTACAAGAGCAAGGCTGTAACTCTGAGAGACACCTTCAGGGAAGAGAAGTATGACAGCACATAGTCCTTTTCCAAAGCTTCCCACTTATTGTGGATGCAGCACAGGGACTTCATGATGAAGCACCGGAACAAGGAAAGCAGGAATACAGGCAAAGCATTCTCCTCATCAGTGGGTTTTCAAAAGAACAAAGTCATCTGAAAGCTCAAAAAACAGGATCCCCAGAGCAATAAGCAGAATTGTGCAATTCAAAAACACACAGACGTGAATCTTACTTTCAAAGGGCTTTATATTACAAAAAAAAAAAGTAAGTCACAACGAATGCGAAAAATCCATTCAATGAGGCTTGTTTCCAGTTTGCTAGGAAAGCTACTTTTCTCTTCTTTATTCCCAGCCTATCGCTGAAAACATGATTGCCAAAACAGTGACACCTCGAGCTAGATTTTTAAAATCACACTTGCTCTGCCAGATCCAGTACTCTGAACTTGTCCAGGTTGTAGAAACAAGCCTTCACGACTCTGCCTCCAAAGTATCTTCCATTTAGATCCACAACAGCTGGAATTGAAACCAAGAAGAAGTCAGCAAGCAGCAATTCAATAAAATATACATGTCTTTAGCTAAACAGTCTATTCACTGAGACTGTTTAATCTCTCTACAGAAGTTAACTCTGAGGTTCACAGAACACAATTTAGTACCCTACCTTTGATGGCAGACTCAACCCGTTCAAACTCTAAAAATATTCTTACAGCTTCATCATCAGGGGCACCAGGAATCTGAAACAAAACAAAACAATCAAACCCAAAACTAGAAGCACTTAGAACAGTAGCAATAAACACTGTTTTAAGTTGCTGTTCTTCACAAAAGTAGTGAAAAGAACACAGTACAAACGTTCCAAAAGCACAATACCCAGAGATTTTTGCCCAGTTTCTGACATTAAAAGTTTGTATCTTACAGATATGGAAGATCCAGAATGACAACACAGCAAAGGACCCTGTGAGAACTTCTAATCTATGCCCCTTCTCTTAGGCAGTAACAAGCCAGCAGTGAGGGACAAGTGCCTAGTTTGCTTTCAGAGCAGTCAAAAAGAGACAGATTATCTCTTACCTCAAAGATGACACATTTCCCAACCTTGCCATATTTCTCACATTCCTCCTTAGTTTCAACTTCTAGATCTTCATCCACCTCCCCAGCACCTACCATGTTCTGAAAGTTAAAACAATAAACCCAACTCACTGGATGTAGTCTGTGCAGACGATTATGTAGACAAATCACGGATGCATGCAACTCTGACCATGAATACTTTAAGCTTCTGTTTACCAGACAAGAGCCACAGGAGCAGACAGTTCCCTAGTACTAAGACAAGGTTAACTGTATAACCTAAAGCAGGGTTGATTTACAGTCAACTCGTATCTCAGGAAGACACATTTTTTTTTTCTGCAACACAAAGCACCAAGCAGGTGCAGGCCAGAATCGTTCAAACTGTATGGAGTCATCGTAACAGGAACACAGGTTTAAATGTTTCAACCAGCCAGGTATGCTGCAAACACCAAGACATGTTCTCTTACTCCCAACTTACCCTTAGTAAGACCACTTTAGTTGGGCATTTCAGTATCTCAGTCAATGGGTTAGAATCTGCTTTCTTGCCCGTTTCTGTTATGAAGACAGAACAGTTAATCATGGAATAATTTAAGATTAAAGCTCATTTAAACCTTACATGGGGGCTTCTATCAGAATCTTACTGTTATCAAACAATGGAATAAGAGCCACAAAATGTAGTTTCATATTGGTGAGGAATAGCCATTCAGAGCTCACAGCTACTTGGAAGTACAATAAACACAGAAATCACTTCTACAGAACATGAATGAAGCTAGAACACTGACAACGTACTATTTCTTTGAGGGAAATAATTCCTAAGTTCAGAATTGTATCGACTCCCTAAGAACTAAAAATCGGACCTCCTGACTTCCAACACTTGTGCTCAGGCAGAGATGCTATTCTAGTAAGCTGAGGTGGTGTCTCTAGATCAGACCACAGCAGGGAAATCAGAGCAATATCTAACACACGTGATAAGGAGAAAGTCAGCAGGAGCAGAGCAGGATCACCCCTTGAGAGAAGAGGCTTCCAAATACTAGAGGACAGCTGATGAAGGAAGGAGAGGATGAGCGAAGAAAATTGAGAGGCCCACTTTAAAAAAAGATAATAAAGATAAATTTCCACAAGAAGAAATATGAGTCATTCTTCCAACTCTAACTAGTATCTTCTGCAAGAATAGAGAGTGAACAAAAAATCCAGGAGCTTCCACTGAGCCTGAACTATTATTTTTCCCCCACCCATTTTTCACAAACTTATTGGCGTAGGACAAAATTACCTTTCTCTGCAGAATCACCAACAATGATCTTGCCACCCCTCTTGCTCGTTTTCTCGACTGACAGTGCTGTGCTCAGCCCCTGTTCATGCTTTCCCAGCCCCTGGCCCTCTCTGAAACCATACTTCTGCATGATTTTATGAGCTACTGTCCCTCTGCAAAAAGAAAAAGCATCAGTTAGTAAAGGTTTCTTACACAAAATATTAACATTGCATTTCTCCTGACTGCTCAAATATTCTACCTCATAAAAATCTCATTACACAGAGACTGAAAACATAAAAGCTTCTACACGAGTTTACAATGTAGCAATTTCACAGCACCCTGTGAAGATGAAAAGCGTTACCCCTGAATTACAGATAGAAGACTTGTCAGAGAAGTTGACTAAATAAAATTGTTCACACTTTTACAAATACAACCCAATTTCCATTAACAGTGCAAATCAGCATCATACACTCTATAGAATGGTTTGGGCTGGAAGGGACATTTCAAGATCATCTACTCCAAGCCCTCTGCAATGGGCAGGGACATCTTTCACTAGATCAGGCTGCTGATACTAGATCATAATTCAGATTAGACAAAGGTCTATTTAGTCCAGTTTCTTATCTTTGTCAGTGGCTGGTATCAAAAGCTTGTAAGAAAAGGCAGATGTGGAACAATTTGCTTCCCACCTTAGATCACATTCCACTATCTATTAGCTCCAAGTTGGCGTGAGCTCTAGAGTACATGGCTTTGCTAGCCTTTCCTGTAACAAATCTGGATATCCTCAGTATTAATTTAAACACGTCTCATCTTTCTGAATTTTCAAGGAACACACTGAGGCAATGAAGTCCCCAAGCTATTGAAAGGTACCTTTTTTTTCTAAGTACCTCACAAAAAGCACCTCCACTGACAGGCTTTGAAATTCCCACTGAATGAATATTTAGAATCAAAATATACCTACACATGTTAACACTTCTTTGGAGACCATAGCCAGAGAGGTGAAGACACAAAAAACATGCCATGGTATACTAGTTTAAACCACCGGAAATATTCTATGCTCAGTCACCCCCGTTTTATCAATAGGTACATAAGATTACACAGAAAACGCACGATCAGCCACTACATAACTATTTTCTAAGCATACTATATGAAATGTACAAAGACACACTAAAAAAGGCTAAAAAGTCTGGTTATATAATGCTGAGAGGTTAAAACACTAAGTAACAGAATAAACAGCAGACAATTGTGTGGTCAAAGGCAGGCAGGTTAGGTCCTATTTTTGGCACTTCCTTCAATGAAGTGACAGTCCCAGAGTACTGCTAATTAGAGATGGCAACAATGCATAAACTGGTCCAATAGTCTTTTTATCCTTTTTCTGGACAACGTAAAAAACTGTTTCTATCAAAAAAGCCATCAAAAATTGTCTCCAAAATGGAAATGCAGTGTAATAATGTAATACACTACACTTTTATGTCTGTGTTTGTCTTGGCTACAGTTTTGACTACACTGAGGCTGCATTTCTGCAACACCCGATGCGATTGATAAGAGGACCATGGCTCACCACTACACCTTTCAAATGTTTTAAACTATAAATTCAACTTCGCTTTGTTGCCACAGGAGTAACACAAGCATTACACACAATGCTAATCCAAGGCAGAAAAGTAACTGGACAGATTTGCAGCCACAGCTGCTACATTCATGCAAATATGCTTTGAACTTTTGAACAAACAAACAAAGCAGAGATGAAATGATTTGCCCACTGGTACGCAGCAAATGTAAGACAAAGCTGGAAAAGAAACCTAGAGGAACTAACATGCCATCTGTTTGCCTGTATACTACATTAACTTGGCTTGTACAAGCCATGAACACTTTATACTGGAGCGTGGCTTCAGAATTTGCTTAAAAGCACAGCCTTGAAGGCAAACACCTCAAATGCATTTCTCCCGATCGAGTAAATCCACTGCTTTTTCTGTATCTTGCCAGTTAGGACTATATGCACTCAGACTAACCCACATACATGCAATGGGTTGTGTTCTTCTCTACTGACAAACTATTTTAACTTTTGGTTTCTACCACCTTCTAATGCCTTTTTCCACAAAACGTGCATAAGTCAATCACTTACCCCATGTTAGCCAGGAAAGAGTTGCTAGGTCCCGTGGGGGAACGAGGTCTTTCTGGCTCATCATACACTGGAGGAGGAATAGCTGCTTTGGAAGATGGTGCCCGAGGTCTCGACTCCTCTTCAAATGGAAATGATGCTACAGCTGAAGAAAAACGGAGACATTTGCTTTTTCAATAAAATACTTTGCATGAATTACTTACTTGTTATGAACACTAGAGTACTATGCCTTCAGTCTAACTCATTTACAGACAGCTCTTCACCTGCAGCTTGTATTTTTTTCTGCTTCGATACTAACAAATTACCAAAAAAGTCTTCCACATAAATGCAAACCAGAAGAATGTTTCCTTTGCACATGCTGCTTCAACATCCCCTCACCTCTCTCTCTCAGAAACAAAATTTGAGTTGAGTTATTCTGGATTTTCCTCATTGGATATAAAGCCAGTTTGTACCCACAGGTCTACAATGCATTTACTAACCTCTTAAACTTATCAATTGGAGAAAAGAAACATTAAGAGGCCATCTGCACTACAATGAGTTTATCCAGACAGAGGGCAAGCAAACTTAAAAGCCTCATTCATCAGGAACAGAATTATGACAAAAATGGATCAATGCACAAAGCTTGGCACCTGAGGACTGTAAAGAAAAGTACACTGTACGTTTACACAGAAGAGAAATCAGTCTATTAAAAACAATGAATGCAACTCAAAGCAAAGTACTTATACAATCTTAAGAGATACCACTGACAATTTCTGAACGGCAACTTTTCCTGGGGATGGAAATATGTCCCTCTGTATCTAGATATGGCTATCTCAACTGTACCAACTAGATTATTAAACTACCTTCCACTGACAAGTCAAACGACAAAATGTAAAAAAAAGCCTACAGAAGACTAAAGGAAATATGCAGAACACACTTTTGAATGTACTTACAGACTTCCAGACTGACTTGATTTTAAATTATTTTCTTGTGAACTAGTACTTGTATTTTACCAAATAAGAAGTCAGATGTGAAGTTTGGGGCTGTCGTATGAGGAAAAAAAATAATCCCCATTTAAGCAGCAGATGGACTGGACTATGGGACTTCTGCTACAGCAATATTTTCTTAGGTTTTTCCAGCCTAGCTTTGAGCATCAAGTAACAAGTCGTACAAAGGTTTCCTTGTGAGATCATGTCACATTTTGAAAGCTCTCTCCCTCAGGATATTTCTACCATTTCCAGCCTATATTTACTTTGCCTTGACACCACTCAATTGCTCTCAATTATTTACTCAAAACAATCTCTTTCTGTTTTTAATGTTTACACAGTTCAAATGCTTTCACTATTATATCACTCACTTACTCCACCAAGCTTCATTTTTTATTTGGATCTTCTCATAAATAAAATCAGGACTCCCAAAGGAAAGTTTCTGTGCATAAGATTCTTTTTTTTCCCCTTATTATTTTTTTAACATACACAACATACTGTTAATTATTTTAATTAAAAAATTTAAGACAATTAGACATGCAAAAAGATAGAAGTTTTGTTCTTATGGCAAGATTATGCCATCTAGTGGACAACTGCAATCTCCAAGCTGTCTTCATTGAGGGAAACTCTAGTTTACACACATCTCTTTAGCAAACACTGTATCCCTCAAAAACGTACAAAATTCTGTCTGTAGTGTATAATCCCTTCAGAAAAGATATTCATAAAGTACCTCCTAAAGCGAAGGGTAATTGAAAAACTCCCTCTGTGCTGTGGAGGTTTCTAGTCTAGCCAGAGAAACCTGTCCGCAACACATCTTTTACAATCAGAAATGAGTTAACTGAACGTGGTTGTAACAGACCAGTTTGCCACACCACTTCTCTAGCGATACAGAAAGAATCCTTTAGAACAGAGATGTGAAGTACAGTAGTATCGCAGGCTCCGCACAGCTTCCCCCCATCAACAAAGAACTAGTACAAATTCTTCTGTCACAAAGAATCACATGGGAAGAACGGCAGAACGACTTAACCAAATAGAAGGTTGAGTGAGAAATAAACAACACTGCTACGTTTTAGAGAATGGGATTTTGGTGTACTTACGTTCTTTGTCCTTCTCAACAAGAGAAGTGGGTGGTGCAATGGCAGCTCCCCCCATACCTAGGAGTAAAATAGAAGACAACACATTTGTATGATTAGGTTCTGCTGCTGGAATAGCTTCACTGAATCTTGACACAGCAGCTGGCTCCCTACCAGTCCATTCTTAACATACATCACTATCAACAGAAAAGTAGCGAGACAGCAGTCTGAGAAGTTTCAATAGTGGTGAACTAGAAATGAATAAAAAGCACATCAAGGGAGACAACAAAGTGCAATGCACGTACTACATACTGCGTCTATCAAACACATTTCACAGGATTTCAAAATTAAAGACAGTGAAAAACCTTCAGTTCTAAAACTGCTCAAACCAAATGAAAAAAGATATATGTTCAAGATTAACCACACTTTCAAAATAGTAAAGTACAAAGCCCCTTCCATACTCTAATGAGCAATATTCTAACATAGTCCCAAACTTCCAAGGCAGAGCAAATATTTTGTGTCCCCTGTCAGTAATTTTCTTTTTAAAAATAACAACAGACCTGAATTATTTACTGTAACTTTGTTCCTGAAAAAGAACAAGGTTTAGTTTTGCTTATGCAAAGACATATCTCATCACCTAGATCCACATCCCCTAAGTAGTTCTCAGGGCATTCAAATAACAAATGCAGGGATGGTAAGCTTTAACAGTGAAAACTCAGTGATTCTCATAGCCTGATTTTATCTCACATCTCACTCCTTTCCTGGAACCTACACCACACAAAATTAAAACAGGTATCTACAAACTACTGTAAAAAGAGGTCTTTCCACAAAGAATTTAGCTGCCATCTGCCTCCACGGAAAGAATGGTTTTCTGCATTACAACAGCTACAGTGAAATTAAATGCTAGGTTTATTCTAAAGGCTCGGAAGTAACAGTATACTTCTCAGTTGAGAAGCGAGAAATACAGAATCCATGAAACAGGAACATGATTGTGAATTCCCACTCCCCTTCTTTTTCTCCTCTTTCCCCACCAAAAACATAAACAGCTTCCTTACTTCTTTTTCGTCTCTCCCTTTCATAATCTTCATCTTCATCAGAATCAGGATCTGGTCTTCTTGAAAACCCACTGGCTTCATGTCTGTCTTTACGTCTTCTAGGAGACACAGTAAGTTAGGATAAGAAAACAAAGTTAACTCTTTGCTTTAACTTGATACCACCTTTGCAGTGTGAATTATACTGCTACACTCTACTTGGCATTTTATAATGTCTTCTATGAAGGTGTAAGTAAACACCTTTACTTTTTGTTTCTTTGCTTTTATCCTCATGGAGAATTTTTTGTAAAATACAAGACACATCCAAAGCAAGATCATTTTCCACTTCCAAGTCAGCCAAGAAGAACGTATGGAAGTGAGGAAGCATCTGAATAAATCTAGTCCAAACTGAGTACAGTGATCGAGCAACTACAATGGAGGAGGTGTTGGATGGAACTGATGGCAAGATAACAGAGACATTAATTAATCACCCTGCTTTGAACAGAATCCCTTTTAAGTTCCCCATCACAGGCTATACAGAGTATTATCATTTACTCAGTCAATTAAAAAAAAACACAAAGAAAACCCTACCATGCTTAAATATCAGATTATTGAGATGCTAACTTGGCAAGTACAGTAAGACTTAGGCAACTGTATTAAAACTTGTAACGTTAGGTGAAAAATGCTTCAAGAATTGTCTGCACTTCAACTGTTATTTATTGCGATCATGACATTATTCACTTTAATACTTTAAAGAAAGGAAAAGTATTTTTTCCAAAAAGTTATGAGCACAGCTTGAGGCATAAAAATCAGATCTCATTCCCAGCACAACCATCAAAGCTGTGCTACAGGATGCTAAAAACAGCAGTACAATGGAACCAGACAAAATTTCTGAATCTCTACACTGTGAATTTAAAACTAATGTACATTCTGTTCAAACACCCAGGTTATCACAAAGCATACATCTGATGCAGGTTTGGCTGAGATTGTTTCCTTAATTTTAAATCAGAATGTATTATGTATTTTTCAGTTCCTCTCTCTAATTTTATATCTAAAGACTACCCTCTTGGCCCACATACAAGAAGTACAAGCATGACTAAATAGCAATTAACACTGAAGCTGTGGAAATGACAGATTTCTCAGATCTCGCATGCTAGTTGAAGTATGACAGAGCCTCAGGCATTCCTCCTCCACCAGAACAATGAAGACATAACCGAGAGAGGACAGAGAAGTCCAAATGACTAGAAATATTAATTTCCACAACCTAAACAGGGCAACAGGATATCCCTCTTGTAATTCCATAGATTTCAGATGATTCATAATGTGATGAGACTGGCTTACTAGTTTCACTTAAAATAAACCAATATAATCTTACTGGCTGGCTGGCAGATGTTTTATCACCTATTTCAATAGGACACGGAATCTGCATTCAACTTCTTTAATATTATTAGAGAGATTTCTTATTCCAGGGAAAAGGCATTAAGGTAATTAAAAATAAGCAGTACTTTCTTTTGTCCAGAGACAAAGGATTAATAAATACACAATTAACTTAAACTGAATGCAGAATATTAATAAGGAAAATGTAACTATGCCTCTCAAAGGCTGCACTAGCTACATCTTTAAGAATGAAAACTGAAACACATTAATTTATGAGTTTGGAGTATTTAAAAGCAGAAAGGATGGTTTACCACCGAGTGTTGAAAGGTATTTCTGTAGTCAGGTTATACTGACAACAAATGCTCCAAAATACCTGCACAGTTAAAGTATGATAATGATGCATGAAGTACACAAATATTGCTGCTACTAGTGAAATAAAGTAAACGTAGAAAAAACTTGACGCTCTTTCAGTCAAAGAGACAGTAAATATAATAAATCCTATAATTTTTGCACTATTAGGCGATTTTAGTGAGAGGATTGAAACACACAAATTAAAACGTTGCGCTTATTTCTACAAGCATACAGTATTCTTTACAAAACCTTTAAGAATTTCCCTGAAACTGTTTAGAGGGATAAAACTAAAAGAATAGAAAAACGGATTTGTTATCTAATTGCCAATACATCACGAGTTTAAACAAAAGCCTTACTTTTCTCTTTCTTCAATCTCCTTTTGCCTCTCCAGCTCACGCTGCCTCTGTCGTTCCTCTCTTTGACGTTTTACTACTTTTTCATAGTCATTTGGGAACATGGGATCATACTCATCTGCCAAAGGAATCAACACATCTCCCGCAGAAAAACCACTAGGTACAGGATCCTTACAAAAGAAAAAAGAATTTTTTCAGCTGAGATCTAAAAACATCCAGTTGGACACTAAGAATTTAACACTTCCTACTCCCAGCAACATAAAACTCAACTCCTGACTTCTACATTCATTATTTACCTGACCAAATTGCTGTCTTACAAAGTACTTTGAAGCTGTCCAGGAGAAATACGCTAAGAATGCTGTTTTAATTTAAGTGCACATTAACCTTGGTAAATCCATGTTGTATCACATGGAAGCCTGTATAAAGCTAGAATGTTCTTTAATTAAAGAATCTCTGAGTAGAGGAAATCAATTTCAGAAAATTATCACTTCTTTGACCACTAGGAAAGACAATGAAAAAATAAAAATACAGACTGCAGTCAAAGAATTCCAACTCCAAAACATTTGTTAACAGCTGGACTTTTTAGCTGCCTTGGTCTTACCTTTAAGCCGGCAGCTACATGAGGTGGTGTGTCCACAATCTGTCTCTCATCAGAAGAGCTGCCTCTTTTCAGGTCAATCACTGGAGCAAGGACTGTTGTTTGCTTTGTTCTCTGACTCTGAAAAATCATCAAAACACAAAATGTCTAAAAAAGGTAAAAACAAACCCCAGTTTTCTAAAAAGCAACTTGCTTTATATACTTGTAGCTGGTATCTTTTTTTTTTTTTAAAAGGATGAAAACCACTGTCTCAAATTCTTCACTATGCAAAGTTCAATAAATCAGTTCTCTTCAGTTTATCAACACACAGTAATTCTCAACATTGCTAATGAACTTTGATGTGGACAATTAAGTTTATGTCATGTTTTAGTGGTGGCAAAGGCTGCTCAGTTCTGAGACAGATGCTTGCCAACTGTGGTTAAAGAGCTGCTACACAAATACAGATCTGATGCAATATTTCAAGGAATGCTTCAGTGAAACCAGTGCATACCTTCCTTTTTTTAAGCAAGTGAGATCAGACTTTGCTTGTGCATGCAGTGGAACATACAGCAGTAGGTGAACGGTCCTAGGTTTGGACTAGGAAATACACATTAAAAATTCAGATGATCTCTTCAGATGGGTTTGACCCGAGTGGGGTTTTTTAAGAAGGGGCTCAGACTTATTCCGAAGATCTACTGTTCTTCATATTTTATCATCTGATAAAATGTATTAATCTATTCTGATTTTGTATTTCTATTTTCTAATCCTATTCTATACTTCTCTTAGTTTATGCATACACTGCATATCAGTTACAAAGACAAAGAATGTATCTAATATAGTAGTCATTTACATTTCATTCATGTCGGTTGTTCTGATTATCAACTAAATCCTGCCCTCAATTTTTAGCGGTATAAATCAGGAGTAATTCCAGTGAAAAAAATGCTGTGCCTACTTAAGTATTCAGTATCTATGCTACCTCCTTTTCAATTAAGTAATCTCACTCTAGAACCTACACACCACAAAGAACACACGTTTCCTGCCTGAACCAAAATATCAACATTGCTTAAAGAAAAAGGGCGGAATAGCGTAGCAATAAAAAGAGAAAATGGCTCTGTCACAGTTTAAACTCAAGGAATTACTTGCACTCCTTCTCCCTTTCATATACACTTGAAATACTTTCTGCAAAAATTCCTAATGCACGATGATTTGCACTTTAGCACTGAAAGCCTTCTAAATAGCAAGCATAAAATGATGCAAACATGTAAATAACAACTGATGCAAAATGCCAAGAATGACCAACAGCCAGTACTGCCAACTACCAATCACAGTATGACCCTTACTTACTCAAAAAAAAAAAGCTTAATCTAATTACCTTTAAAGTTAGATTTGAAGATCAGCTTTTGGCTCTACTAGTTAAAAGATCTGAGGTTTGTAGCACACGGATCAGTTCTTCATTCAATACTAATTATGCAAGACACCCTCTAACAGACTTCAAGAAACATGCATCTCACCAGTTTTGCTAGGCTCCTCACTACGAACTCATAGACAAATCCCAGTAAAATTACCTCAAATTGGTATTCTGAGGTCACAAACTTTCCTTGATGCTTTGAACACAAAAGAAGTTTGAATAATAGAAAACAAAAATACAAAGGGACTATACCTTTGCTTGCGTCAGAGCTGCTTTCTTCACCTGCAATTGAGACTGTAGCAGTTTGAAATTTTTGGACCAGCCCTCTGTTTTAGAATCGCTGGTCTCAACTCCCAGGTCATCGTAAAGTGACATCTTCTCTTCAATTTGAAACTAAGAGACAAAAGAAAAAATCCAGATGATATAACAAACCTATGTCCAGAGCTTATTTGCTACTAGTTTGCATATGTTTATACACTGTATTTTTATATATCTTTTTTTCCAAAGCCAGAGAAAATTCAAAGTAGTAATATTTTTCTGGCTAGTAGCAGATACAGGTGACTACAGCAAGGCTGTTAAACGTAACTGTTTGAAAGGTCACGAATACTGTTCAAGCGTTAACAGTGTTAGAAACTTCCTAAATTACATTTGTAGCATTAGATATCAACCATTTCAGGCTTTGAAGAAGATACCAGTGTGGACTACAGTGTATTTTGAGGTTCCAAAGAAATTCAACATTATGGGTCACACAAGCCTCAAGACTTCCAAATTAAACACAAAGGAATTATCGTCTCTGCTGACCTTAAAAACTAGCCACACAAACACATCAACATTCCAATCATCTTCCTAAATTTCACTATTTTTTGCATCACTGTAAAGGAATATCTATCTTATACTAAATACACTTGCCAGAATATTATTAAGTAAGCATTTCCATATTTAAAGGCCTCTCAAATACATAGAACTTATATATGCATGCACACACACACACACACACGTATCTATATAAAATTACCTAGGTAACAATATCAATAACATGACATGAAACGTATGACTTTGCCTGATATTCCATCTCATGAATGGAAGAAGAGAAAATTTGAATGTAACAATAGGTCTATCACCTGTGGAACAATCTATAAGCAATTTAGTCTCTGATAGGCCTGGTTTACAGTATCTTCACCCAAAAACTTGAACTTCTTCATTTACTGCAGGATCAAACATAACTAATTAGTGGTCTGCATTGAAAGCTTATAGACTCATCAGCAAGATCCTGATATCACAGATTTGACAGATATTTATATTTGAGGGAACCTGCCCAACAAACAGATAACTGTTGCTATAACTTGTATGCCTTTAAGTCTGTGGGAAAAGTCTCAGATGCAGCAGACAGCAACTATATTACAACTCCAAAAGACGGTAAGCTCAGCAAAAATTAAAAAATAACCACAACAACCATTTGATCCTGCAGTGGAATATGAACAATCAGGGTTCAGCAAAACAGAGTTCACTGCAAGAAAATGGAGGTTATTGCATTCGTTGGGCGTTACTACCCATACGGGCACAGGGAGTAGAACATATAGGGAACACTATAATACATATGGGAACAGGATGAGGACGAGGCACTACGAGAATTCCCCCCTGCCACAGGGGAGTAAGGTTTAAGCAGTAGGAGTGCAGCTATTCTGGGGCAGATATGATGCACTTGGGGTACGTTATGCTACACGTATGGATACAGGGAGGGTGCTGCCATTGCGGGAAAGGGACTTTCTGCCTCGACGTCTGGAGGGGAGGAGGTGCGCCACAGCCGGGGGGGCACAAGGGAGGAAAGCAGAGGGACTGTAACCACGCCAACAGAAAGGTAAGGGTGTTATTTCCGCCCCCCATGAGGACGGAGGGGGCCGAGGCCCGGGACACAGGC